TTTATCAATTTAGGGATAAATTAAACAATCAAATCGGTAAATTATTACTATTTTAATGGGGCTAAAAATGTTGAGATAAAAGTGATGAAACCAATAATATTTTTTTTCAAAATAATTTGACATTCTCAACCAAATAAAACGTTTTGAAATTCAAATATTCCAAGGAAAGAAAAGGAATAAAGATTCTATCATTTGTAATATATTGAGTATTAAGTATTTTTGGAGCTATTTGTTGCATCTTGCCTCAGCAGATTACGTTTATGTCCTCAGATGCTTCTCATGCGTTCTTTCTTCGATTTTGTGGTGGAGACGGTATCTTTGTGGGCCAGCAGAAACGACCAAGTGTATTCACAATAAGAGACTTAACCCCAAAGCGCAAAGCTTCATGGAAACGCCGGCACGCCGAAAGATATTGGAGAAGGGAAAGCCTCAGCCAATAAGAAAACGGCGTGACGAGCACGCTCCTTAAAGGAGAATAAACAATTAGGGCTTATCCCACTTTTAGAAAAAGGCCATAAAGGTTTTTCTAATCTATTGGCCTTAAAAAGTGGTTTTCCTAATCTTCTGCCAAAAACAAGCGAAGCGAAGAGATTTTCTTCCCCGTATCAATACACAAATTGATAATTACTATTTTATGAAATGTATTTAAACTTTAATACACTGTAAATTTAGAGATATCTCACTCTTTTTCTTTCTTCTTTTTTTTTTTTCATTTTTTACCCTTTCTCCTTTCACAATTCCCCCTATCTCCCACCTTTTTCTTTTATTTTATTTTTTTCTTTTTTTTAAAATCTAACAAAAGAATCATGTGACCGTTAAAAAACATGTCAAGTAAATCTCTTTAGAAGATTTTTCTAATAAATTATTTTTATTACTATTATATTTTTATAAATTTAAAAATTAAAAAAAATATTACATGACAAGTAACTTTCTGTGCTAGAAAATAATCTCTTTAGATATAAATATTGATGATATAATTAAAAGTTTTAAAAAATTATCATATGATAAATAATCTCTTTCATTATCAGAAAAGTAGGTTATAAGAATAAATTTTGGGTTACTATTTTAAAATAATTAAACTGAAACCATTTAATAAATATTTTTTCATGTATATAATCTGTTGAAGGTTGTAACAGCCAATTACTAATTAAAAGAAATAAAAAAGTAGCTTGTTGCTATTATTTCAATCACTATCTCATAATTCTCCTCAATCCTCCACCAACTTTTCTTTCCCTATGTTCTCAACTCAGCTCTATTAAAAATGTGAATTTCGGATAATAACAACAAAAAAAGAGAGTATAAATTAACTCCTATGCATTTATTTTGTACCTCCTTTTTCTTATAACTGTTGGCATTTATTTTATCTTAAAGCAATTGAAATGTTCAACGAATTTACTTTAGCTTTGGTCCGTGGATGCAATGAGGCCGAAAGCGAAATCATTCTTTTTGTGGCAGATGCCAACATATTCACAGATGTCGTCATGATAAGAGCGAAATTGGCCCCTTTCTCCAATTCAACAGGCTACCGGAAATCCTATGCATCAGACAAACTTACCAGCTTGCGAGTACGCATTTTCAGTACATGCTACAAAAAATATGCATTTATGGCTGATTAAAACATTTCTTAGTGCCCCAAGATACTGAAACTCTTTTTCTTGATTTAGAAAGCAACCTTCATTTCTTGACTTTAAATATAAGTTGTGAAATATTGTAAGAGCACTAAATCTCACGGTATAACAAACAGAAACTGGTTGATCAAATAGTTTGATGGATATGGGTATTTAACTTTGGGGTTTTTTTTTTTCTTGTATGAAAAAATAAATTGGTTTCCAAATACTTTGCAACAGCAAATTGTGTTATGCTCAAAATTCCTTGTATTAAAATAGAAGCTTTGAGGTGACGAAGAACTTGAAGTTTCTCTTCCATTCACTACTAACATTAGAAAATATAACTTGTATAACAAGTTATTAACATGAAGCTTAACAATTCACAATGATATTTGTCTGGATATATAATATTGTAATCTAAAATAAAATAATAGTGCACTGTCCTTTTAAAAATTTTCGTTTGATCATTTTCTATTGTCTTTTTTCGCTTGGCTTTTTAATTATGTCTTTATATATATATATAAATGTGGATATCTTATTTCTTAGGGATAGAATTGTATAAATTACCAAGTTTAATTTTTCCTTTTAACTTGTCCAACTCTCAAATCAGTTGATGTACTTTTACAGAAGCTTTTGTTAATTTTCCATTTCTAGACCCTTAAAGGCAAGTTTTGAATTATAGTTAAAAGTGATATAATTTTGTCATTTAAACCTAGAGAATGAAATCATTGAAACAAGCGGCCCACCTGGGTAAGTTACTGCAGTAGTTACTTGTCAGCTGTAGTTTCTGCCTCTTATTTTTCTCAGAGTGGGATATTTCTGTGATGTTATCTTCCCGCAATTAATAGTATCTGGAAGCTTTCGTCTACGCTACGACCTGATGACAATTTCCCTTGTAGTTGTCGTGCCGAAAGAAAGTTACACAATTGTTTTTATTGTCTGCTGGAATTTGATTAAGCGTTGCAACGAAAGAAACCGCAAATTACAATATTGTAAATCCAAGTCGCCAATTGCCAGCATACAACAATAGCCTACACAAATTTAATTAAATATATTGTATAGTGTATAATGTCGTAGCATCCATATGAATGATTTCTCGATGGGCCTACTAATAATATAATATGCATAATCATATTGTTGAAAATTTAATTAACTGTAGATCCATTCAAAGTAAATAATTAAAGGGTTTAACAGCTTCAAGTTTTGATGAGTTCTGCAATATCTATTAGACTAAGTTTTTACCTTACATTTGCTTTTTCACCTATTCCTCTACCCTTGAAATATCTCCATTATGTTTGGCTTGATCACTTTTTATAATTTGGTAAGTCTAGACAGGCGCTTATATTCAGATTATGGCTTTGGCATAGCTTGTGAAATTGGATTTCCTCATAGCAAAAAAACATGGGTTATGTTAGCTGCATGGCGGACTTTCGAACCAACGACATGCCTAATTAATCTAAAGGCTATAGCCATGGGTCTATGAGCATGAACAAGGCAAGATCGGATCCCGACAAAAAGGCGATTTCCAAGGAGTGTGTGATTGCAATGTCTTTGTGGGCAAGCCACGAAAGCACCCAATGTCTATTCGTGGCCACCGTGCGCTCCAATGCCTTATCTAGCGTGGCAGAAAACCTTTCTAAGTATCCGTGTCGAATGTCAATTTATTAACACTATATTTAAATTGCAAATCTTTTTGTTCCTGGTATAAAGCAATTAACGTTTAAGTTGCAATGAATTACAATTATTATGCACTTAGCCTAGTTGTCAATAACATGAGACATTTTTATTTTGTAATGATTGACGAAAATGATGGGTATTATTTATCTTAGTACATGAACTAATTGAGTAAGCCTTTGAAAATAAATAAAAAACCTAATTGAGTTAGCCTTTGAAAAGAGTAAAAAACTAATTGAACTAAGTTTCACACTCAACTCCTCACCCCCCCAAGCCTCTCAAAAGTCTTTTTAATGACTTTTAGTCCTAAAATTATTATCCTATTACACAATTGTTCTTTAATTACATCATATTCTTGATTCTTTTAAATTAAATAAATGTTCTCTGTAACTCTTCAATTAATAGCTATCTTGTGTGCTTTAAGAATTTGAAGGTAAAAGGTTTCATGCGTCGGGTTCCCTGTTAGGTTCAAGGGTTGCTCCAACTGAGTCAAAAGTTAGACGTATATTTTAGTCTTGAACGTATTTTATTTAATTTTAATTTAAGAATATATTTAAAAATACTTAATATAATAATATAATATTTTAGTATTTAATAATAAAATTAAATTTATTAGTAAGATCGAGTCAAAATCCGAATTTAAATTTTAAAAGTGTGAATTGAGTCTGACACAATCATAAATACCTTTTGACTTAAGTACGAAACATTAAAATAAAAATATATATGTATGATATGAAGAGGTTTTTCTATTATTGCTAACATGAAATAGAAAATTTCAAAAGTAAAATAAAAGATTTAGGGAAAAGAATTTTGGTTGGAATGAGGGTAAACTGTGTTGGCGGTTACGAGAGGGATCTTAACAGTCAAATAAACAACTGCCACGTGACTTGTCTATCTGATAATTAAAGATTCTGCGGCGTTAAATTCACAATCTGGGTTGTCACTTGGACACGTGGTCCATAGAAAGCAGAATTTGTCCTAATCAACCGCTGCCACTGAAAATCTAATCTTGACGTTGTCATCCAATTTTGGCACCATCTCCAGTTCTTTTTCATTGTAGTAATTCTCTTGCCATGTACCAACGCGAGGTGTGAGAGGGAACTAAAATACTAGCAAACAACAGCCCATTGCAATTGAGAAAAGCCCAAACCAAGTTTGGGCTCTCTCATGTTGACCCACACTTTTTCTTTTTTTTTTGGTAAATTTGGTAATAATGTAAATATGTTTTCAATATAAAAAAAATTAAACAAGTTAAAAATTTTAAATGTAAAAACATTTATTTGGAAGGAAAAGTGCAACTTGAAACCGCTAGATCAGAGTCCACTGTCCGGTAGTAGCAAATAACATATTTTAGTAAATAGAATCCGGTAATAGGGTATTTTGATTGATATAAACAATCAAATACCATGTAAAATTGTGATAAGTAAACATTTTACAAGTTGTTAATATTATTATGGGTAAAATAGTTTCATTTGTTAATTTTTAGTTATAATTTCATACAAATTTATTATTTTTTAAAATTAACAGTTTGTATTAAAAAAATATTTTTTATTAAATATATAAGTTTAGTCATTAATCAATTATTAATATTTTTATTAGTTTAATGATGTAGTAATATTGAAAGGATAATTTATTTTTTATTAATTTTAAAAATTATAGTATTATATAGATTATAATTTTTTAATTTTTATTTTTTATTAAAAAAAATTATCCCGTCTTTTATCGCAGCTGGAGTGTCAGATCTATGCACCTTTGGGAGCACGGGGGTGGAGGTGCAGGGGGCTTTCGATTGAGAACGTCGCCAACTAACATAAAAAAAGAAGAAAATAGTGAAAAAAGGTTAAAAGAAAAATACTTTTGATATTTCATATTTGTTCATTAATATCGTTTATATGTTTGAAGTGACTTGTTTATTTTAAAAATTAATAAATTATTATAAAATTATAATTAAAAATTTAAAAAATAGGATATTTTATTTTATTATCATAGATGTCCCGTGATAGTTCTGTTGCCAAACATAATATTCCAACACATATGAACAGAATGCGACACTTCATAGTCCACACCTTTTTTTTCCATCGATTAAAAACGTGCGAACAAGCACAAGCCAGTGCCAATTCATTTGATTTATTATTATTCTGATTATTTAAATGACTCCCCCCCTCTCTGTCTTTCTTGAAAGGAAGTTATAATTTTTTACAAATACCAAAACAGGTCTTGGGAAGAGTATTAGTGGCACGATATTTTTCAGCCTTGTCATCAATGGCAATTTTCCCTTTCTCACGTTGAGCTTCGATGGATGCCTTTTTCTCTGCTACTGTCTTCTGAACTTGAGCTTCCTTATTTTTCAGTTGTTCTATTTTCAGTTTCCTCAGTTTCTCTGCACTTACCTGATCATCATACACAGCCTTCATGTTACAAACTTTGACATATATTTATATTTACTTGGTTATGTTTTTGATGCAAACAAGTTAGGAGAGAATGAGAATTCAAATAATTATATAAAGTAGTTTTTACCTCAATCATTTTTGATTTGGCCTCGTTACATGCTTTCATTTCCTCCTGCCACGACTGAGTTTCAGCCATCTTTCGATCCGCTCTGTTCAGTAAGTTTTGTATTAGTTATAAAAGGCTAAATTACTTCATTCCCCCCCCATAATCCTTATTACAGGGTTCAGACTAGATTGTAATGAATTCACTTACTTGTGATCTACTTTTGCCTTTTCTCTTTCTCTCCAAGCGTTAATTTTCGACTCGAGTTTTTGTGTATTAATTCTTTGAAGCTCTGACATTAAAGTAGGGCAATTCCCAGAGTAAGCTTATAGATGTTAAACATCATTTGGCCAAACGAATTTCTTTGTTTAGATTTTTTAAAATTTGTATTTAAATCCAACAACAATATGCTATAAAAGACAAAGAAACAAGCATTGAACCAGAATTCTATAAGCTTTTAAAAAAATCCAAACCAAGGTATACTTTTAAGGGGGAAGGGGGAAGGGAGAAGGAAGTAGTCAATCCTCCATCCTTCCCTTTTTTTTTATAGTTTTGGGTTTATGAGCAAATATTGACGTAAAAAAGAAGGGTTATAATAAGTGGAACTATACCTTTATCCATTGTAGAACCTTCGGAACTCTCCATCAGTTTTCTTTCACTTGTGTTGATTTTCTTCCGTACGATGGAATGATGGCGGCATGAAAAAGAAAAGATGTAGGAGACTCTCTGCTGCTTTTATCAGCCTTGTTCGTGGACAGATTTAAACTGACCAATTATGATGGTAATCATTGGTGAAACACAGGCATGCATGCAGATTAAAATCAATTAACCCAAATTCAATTTTCTCATGATTCACGTGTAACAATAATTTCTAAAGTATCATTCTGAAGCAAATAGAATTTCCACCATGCATTTATAGTGCTCATGTGTATTTCGTTTTTGTATATGGAGACTTACACCTTAGGAAACAATCACGACAAAGCTTTTACTATCATAATTTCTGGGTTACACGTGTTTTTCTATTTTAGCTCATCAAAATTTGAAAAATATATAAGATTTTAGATCATTCATGAGTAAAGCGTTAGTTTTGTGAGTGTGGAGAAATACGATTATAAGTTAAATTATACCTCACGCGAAGATCTTGATTTGAATTTCCCAAATATAACATATGTAAATCTCATGTTTAGAGATTAAATCATTATAATGGTCCATTAAATTGCCACTATTCTTGATCACAAATTTATGTCTAGAAATACAAATAATAGATATATCCATTCATCAATACACAGATACAGATATAACATCAAATTATATAGCCGAATAGCTGTGGTCATCTTCTGGAGGAGCCTTGGTAAAAACTGTAAATACTACGAAGGCTCCATATAATATTGTGACAACGGCTGTGAAGTTTACAAGGAATGCCTCAGCACCATATTTAGCAAGGCCTGAGTTCTCAAGGAATGTAAGCTTCTCCAGGCACCCAAGGGCTGCATTGCCAACGGCCAAGATGTATACAAACAGTCCCAACAGTACGTGCCAAGGAAGCGATTCGCTTCTTAACCCGGCTGATCCTCCAGGGTAGAAGAAGACGAGAAAGCCATAGATCCACTGCAAAATTACGTTTTCCCTTTCAAAATCATTTTCTAAAAATGAACAGTAGCGATCATCATGCTTAAAAATCCATGGAGTGTAATATCCAAACGAAAACAAAAAAGAAAAAGCCATTGGGTGTTATGAATGAGCAAATGGACCCACACCACAAAATTCCTCAGAGCCAAGCTCAATTGCTCAATGGCAACCTAAGCTTAACTCTTCCATTTGGGCTTCAATAAGCCAAATTTAAACCCATGCGTGCTCTACTTGTATAGCTTACCACTCTAGAATAATTCCAGAATAGAAATGATAAGCAAAACAGGTTTAAACAAGTTAATGGAATGAACACATTCTATTACCTGAATGCCATAAAGGACAATGATTCCGATCCCAAGCCAAGAATGCAAGCTGTAGAGATTGACTATTGAACTCTCATTATGGTACTTGAATGCCGTATAGATACCAATAATGCCCAGAATTAGTGCAATGGCATGGAGCACAAGATGTATCAACTTCTTCACATCCTTACTCAGGGGCAATGACTTGTAGCTCATAATGGCTGCATTGTGTGTTGTTTGGAGCATGGTTCAGTTTACTCAATCCGGGAAAACGAAAATCAGAAGCAATATATTTTTTTATCAACGGAAAAGGTGTGTTGGATTACCTTCACCTCCCACGATGATGAAGCCAATCAACATCAATACAGGATGCAGCTGCAGAAGGAGTAAAATGGTTACGCACAGTTGCAGCAATAATTAAGGACTGCCGGAAATGTTTCACCTTTTTGCTTCCTTATTACGTTAAGAAGGGGTAAATCATTCTAGGATTCTTATTATGTTCATAAGGGTATTGATATTATTCAAAGAAACCGACGAAACAAACATTTAGATATCAAAATTCCTGGTGCATTCAACATGAAAGAGACATTGTTAAGAAGCCAGTCAAAATATTAAATGTTCAGACAATGAGAGAAATTTGGAATGGCAGCAATTATAATTGAAAATGCTACTATATTGATCTTCAATTTGTTTTTTCTTCTTTTCCTCCTTCCTCTTTTCGACACTGCAAAAGAGCTAAGGCATCAGAGAGTGATAGCTTAGATAAGTCCGAAACAAACAAACCTATCCACGGAAATCATGTGACAAATAAATTTAAGGGTTCAATTAATTAGTTAATTCCAAAGCAAGTAGGTGGATACCCGATTTAATGTATAATACTATAAATATAAAAACCTCACTAATGACATAATTAAACCCATGTTCATAAATTTATATAAGTTTTTAATTCGAATATATCGAGTCTCTCATCCTTCTTGCTCCTTCCAACATTATTGATTTTGAAAAAATCAGAAACCACGTGGTGGGGTATTACTGTTTTGTATCTGACATTTATACAGAAAATGCCAAAAAAGAGGCACAAGATAACCCAAAAAAAAAAAAGAACTTAATTATAAAGAAGGGTAAATAGGTCTTCTACACGAGAGACACGAGGGTGAGTATACCAATATAATATGTATGGTTTCAGCCCCCGTTTTGCAGAGATGAACATTGGCCACGCAGCACCAAAATTGGCCACAAGGGGAATTTAGAACTACCCCATGCTCCAGCCCCATTCAATTGCCCAGTAACAAACCTTCCAAGTTGTTTGGTGATACTTACGGAGCGGCCTCTTCGAATATGAATTCGAAACTTTCAAGTAGCAAACAAGTTTAGGGTTGGTTACAGAAATTGAGTAGTAGTAGTGGTATTTCTTTCTAGGGGAATCAAATGGAGCTCTATCATTCAAAGAATTGTTCACTGGGCAATAAAGATATATTTAGTTAAAGACTTTAAAGCCTGGCAATGATCAAGATAATTTACAGGAAAATTGATATGGGGCCATGTCAATTTACAATTGACAGGCATCCAGCACCCATAGCAACAAAAAAGGGATGATCAAATATGAAATTCTAAAGAATGAAACAACTTGCCTAGGGCCAATTCGGAAAAAGGCAAAACCAATAGCCTCCTTCATTAGTTTAGTGCTTAAAGTTTAAGATTCTATGAAATAATGGAAAAGATATATGATAGGGTGAGGGCAGAGTTGTATTTCTACTGTATAAATTATTAATTCCATTCGTCAAACTCAATAACAAACAGCCAAAGGACCATGAGTTTTTTGATGACCATGAACAGGGCTGGAGTGAATGAAATCACCCAAAAGTCCCAAAACAAAAGAATATCGTCAATGGTTTAATCCCAGAGGAGAAACAGAGACCCAGAAACCAAGCAAAATTCCACTGGAAGCCACAACTGAGTTGATGAAAATCAAATAAAAATTAAAAAAGAAGGAGAAAAAATTGATAGAACACCCTCCCATCACACACACACACACACCATAAAAGAAGAAAGAGAAGAATAAGAGAAAGGGAGACTAAAAACTTACATTAAAGATAAGATTTTTGTTTGAAGAAGCCCAAGCTAGTCCGCCCCTGAAGTATATGCACCAAACCAATACCATAACAGCAGCGGCAACCGCAAGCGCGTGCGGCACAATCGTCAAATGCAATGCTCTAATCGCCATGTTCTCTCTCTCTCTCTCACTCTCTGTTTTTCTTCTTCTTCTTAGCTGTTTTAGACGATAGAGTGAATCAAAAACTGCACAGCAATAAGATTTTGATAAAGAGAAAAAGGGGAAAGACCTTATAATTATATCATTTCAAGATTTGACTAATTGGCTTACGCCTCCTGTCCTGTTGTTTCAACCAGTTGTTCCGGGAGATAGGGACCCTTGGATGGAGATCTTTGATTCTCTTGTATTGATGCCACGTGGCGCGGGATTCAGTGGATTGATGGAGTTTCGTGTTGAGTGCATTCGTAGTAGGTTCGTGTCTCATCCTCAGGCCTTGGGCTTCACTTACCTCCCCTGTCCTACGCCTTAAATATTCAATATTCAAAGCTACATAAATCTTAAATGATAAGGGAAGAAAGTTCAATTTCAATCATCCAATGGCAACTTTATAAAAAGTGTGGTAGTACTGATCTCCATTTCCAGCCCTTTTGTAACAAATCCAAGTAACGTTGTCTTGCCTTTGATTTGCACATGGCCAGGCGACCACCTCGTGATCCTTTTTTCCTTTTGTTATAGGTTTGAATTTCAAGTCACTAAGATTCCATTGAAATTTAACATATACATTTGAAGGAAGGCCTGGAAACAACATCGTCTTTGTACTTTTGATCGTACGATACCATTGTGATGGAAAATTTGCAGAGGCCCAGAGGGAATGGAAAATGGTTTGGAACCATATAGAGGTGAAGTCATGTATGACATCATAATATACGGATCAAAATCAACAGCAATCCAATCTTATTACTAGTAAAGCAAGTTCTTAGCTTAGCATCTCATACCTTATTGGTGGGGGGGAATGAAAATAATGGGCAAGTTTTTGTCGGCTTAGTTGGATGTTGTGGTGAAGGACCCCACTTTATTCGTGCCAGTCTTCAATGTCTATCAGTATCCGGGTCCCACTATTATTACTCCGAGTTTCTCCTTCATATTAAAATAGTATGATCTGTTGGTGTTGGATTGCCTTTGGATAAGCATGTTTATGGTGTGTTAATTACGGTTATGGTAAAAAATTGTCACGGTGCTAAGTTAATATTTTGGCCTGGTTAAAAGGGGATAAAGACTAAAGAGAGGGGCAATTTTTACGATGGAAGTCGTAATAAGGTCTATGTAGACACCGACGAAGCTAATTTCGAGCTCAATTCCAAGACCTAACGTGGTAAAAGTTTTGATTTAAAACCCTTGGTATGTTACAAATTTCAACGAGGTTTTAAAGAAAAATCAGGCTGACAAGCTTTCTGCTCGCTAAGTCATATTTTTTGGGTCTCTTGCTGGTTGGGCTATGGTCCATATATCTGTATGCAGAAAACAAAATCCCGGCTTTAACCCTTTAAGATTCAACAAGGGAACCTGGCCTATAGGGTTTCTCCAACTTAAAACTTGATAGCCCAATATTAATTTTGGGTACTGCCTTGCAAGCCCAAACCCTAAATCCGTGCATGAATAAGGATCAAGGTTAGTGGACTACCTATTCAGTTTTAGGTCCATGTCAAATTAAAACTTGCGTCAACTCGATGGATTTGATAGATTACGCTTTGTTACTCAAGCCACTTGATCTAAAATGGTGAAAGTAGACAAGGTATTTCAATTTCACATTCAACCGAATAAGAGGATTTTAAAAAATTTATAAGTGTGAGTATAGTACATCCAATAAGATTAGTTTTTTCAAAAAAAGATAATAATTCCATGATAAAGTAAAATCAAAGAGGCAAGTAGGGCGGTAAATGGCGATGAAAGTGTCATCAAATTCGAATGGTGAAGAATGTTATGCTAAGTGTTTTAGAAAAAGTAGATAAAGTGTTTCAATCTTGTATTAGGTTAGTAAATCTAAAATGTTTATAAATGTGAATATTACACATCCTGTCATGTTAATCTTTTTTTTTTTTTAAATTCTATCATATTAATCTTTTGAGGAGAAAGTAATGGTCCTATGACAATTGCACATATTTGAAATGAAATTCATCCACACTAGGCAAAAGAAAAAAGAAGATTTATAACATTTTGATGCATTTTCAACAACAAAGGTTCTTTGTTGTGGAAAAAGAGTAATAGTCCTGTGATAATTACACACATATATATAATGAAATTCATCCACACTAAATAAAAGAAATAAAAATATCTTCAACATGCAAAGGTTACAACCTTTAGCAGTAGTTAAAATTAAATGTTTAAGATGGCTATTGTGACATCTAAGATGAGGCTCTTGTCTTGCATTCTCCACAAGCTAAACTGATGCTAAATATAAATATTGGGTATAATTATTAATGGATTGAACTTTCATTTTTATTTAGCAGGAAAAACAAAAGAAAAACTTCCAACAATCATGTTGTATATAATATAATTAAACTTGGTAATGGTAATATAAATTCACTTACTCTTTTTAATATGAAAGAGAAAGAAAGGATTCAAATTCATTATTCTTCTTCTTTGACGAGTAGGGCATATATACTAACAATATGCCATGACGTTATTAACTTATTATCTTGAATTACCACACATTAGGAGATATAATCCAGTTTTAACCATTTCATTCGAGTAAGATTCCAAGTTTCAACTTCAGTCAAACGGTATAAAGCCGAAGTAGTGATATCCCCTCTCCTCTCCCTTCCTTTCCTCGGCCTACCTATTGACTTTTATAGATTGTAAAGAAGTTTGTCTAAGAAACCAGTATAATTAAAGAGTGCCCGATTTCAGGCCAAGCTTAGTTCACGCCAATTATTATCTGAAAACCATCATCCTTGAAGAGGTGTCACCTCTTGCACGTGCATGCATTGGAGAGGAGAAAAGAAGCATCACGGGAAGTTGGAGGTCGAGCGGGAATACGTACCCCATTTAAGGCGGGGAATTGCTGAGTCCTAAAAAGTACCTTTCGGAGTGAGACTTTCCTTTGATAAGAATGAACCATTAGGGAAGAATTTAACATGAGGCATCCTGGCACTCCCCACGTCTCCATTACTAGACACGTAGCTTGAGATGGTAGAATACGCTTCGTTGGTCCTCCACAAAAGTGGCAGTACGGCTGGGTCCATTACACTTATGCCAGGAAAGCGATAGAGCATCCGCCCTCACCTCCCCGCATTGGCTGCGCATGGCAGACTACTTTCAGCTTTCCATATACAAAAAGAAGAGCTTTACGATAGCTGCAAGGAGAGAAAGAAGGCATTGTAAAGTTGCCATGATTAAACTCGTTCGAAGAGCCATGTGGACACTGACAATGGCAGGGGTTCGTTTGCCACGAATCTCAACGGGAAAACCTGATTAATTTCTTCTTAATTGTTTGGGTTACTATCAGCCTTTAGATTGATCGCTTTTCAAGTTGTGATGAGATCCATTGGTGCAGGAAAAGTGCGGGACAGTGCGTGTGGGGAGAGACAGAAGAAAGCACATGCTACCACGTGTTTCGACACATTCACAGAGCACTTTGGCCGGGATTTGACTTACAACAAAGTAGCCAATAATAAATGTTACGCCCTTTGTGTACGCTGGCATTGCTGGAAAAATAATGAGGTTTTTGTTAAATATGGATCAGATTTGTCGAAACTAAAAGGGGTTTGGGCCATCGCTGTCTGATGAAATAATTTCAAGCCTATCGATATTTCGCAAACCATCTAAACCTTGCAATCCATTCCACTTAATAAGTCTGGTCAAATCATGGTTTAATCATTCGGCCGTTGCAATTATCCATAAGTAGTAGTCTAATCTTCTTTTTGGGTTTTGGTGCAACGGACAATATTTCAGTGCTGTACTTGATATCTTTAATTTTTCTAATTTATTTATCAATAGCTTACAGCTCCATTTGATTTTTAACATTTAAAAAATGCCTTAGTTAAATAAGGCATAATTCCGCACAAATAAAATAATAATGAAAAAAAGAAGATGCTTTAATGATATGATGGGTAACAGGCTAACAGCTAACTCCTGTAGTATCTTTATCATTTTATTTTTTGTTTCCGTCTTTTCTTTTTCCCCTAATAATCAGCTTAGATATGGAGCATGATCTTATTTTCCTTCCGACATTTTGCTGAAAATGAAACTTCATTTTCGAAGTTAGACAGACGACAGGCTCTAAGCTCAGGTTAAATCGCAAGCTTAGCCTTAAAAAAAGCAGGCACGCTTTTTTGGGTGATGATGACAATAACCGAAGAAGTGTAGGGTCATCATCAGCCATGTATTTTATTTCGTTTTAAAGTTTGGCACCTCGTGCCTTACTGCAATCAAAAGAAAACTAATTCTGATTCCCAAACTTTTATTACTAGAATAAAGTAGAGTGTTTTGATTAATATATTATAAAGAAGCCTCTTTATTACTCTGTAATGCCACTACATTTATTAATTTGACTTTGAGTCATCTTCCATTTCGCATTTTTTCCAACTCCCTGCAGCTTCTATTTTTCTAAAGTTACTAAAGCGAGTTAACAGACTGGAACATCTCGTTGCTCACAGCTGTGCAGAAAGTATCCTTTAGTCCTGTCATAGCCACAATAGAAGTCAAGTTTAGACAAACAAGTTCCAGATTTGCGAGCATTGTTTTCAGTAGAATCCCAATGCCGTGAGTGGGATTTGTAGTCAACATTCACCGCAGAAACTGAAAGCATATATACGATTAAAACAATGTTTAAGTCATGGAGGAGCGACAAGAAAAAGATCAAAGTTGTATTCAAGTTGCAGTTTCAGGCAACTCAGGTACGAATCAGACAAAACTACTGAGACTAGTTGAGAAATTAAAAGTTAGGAGTTTAAGATCTCACCGGATTCTGCCATCTTGGTTTTCAGGTGCCACGGTTGAAAAAGTCCGCGGTAACGATAGCCCTGGTGCCGGAGGATGTTGGAAAGCCAACACTGAGATTAGAGAAAGTCGCAGTTCAGGATGGGAGTTGTTTGTGGGAGAATCCTGTCTTTGAAACGGTGAAACTCATCAGGGAGACAAAAACAGGGAAACTGAGTGAAAAAATTTACCATTTCGTTGTTTCAACTGTATGTATAGTCTGGAATCCCTCAGCTTTTCTTCTCCATTGTTTAAGTTTCCACTGGTGTTGGCTAATTCCTTCTGAGTTCTTGCAGGGGTCCTCAAAAGCAGGTTTTCTTGGTGAAGCGTCAATTGATTTTGCTGATTTTGCAGTAGAAACTGAACCAATTACTGTTTCTCTGCCCCTGAAGTTCGCTAACTCCGGTGCCATTCTACACGTTAGTTCTCTCTCTCTCTCTCTCTCTCTCTCCAGTTACACATGGGTGCACTGACACAAAGTGACCCGTGCATTGTAATTCAATTGATTTCAAGAAGCTAACATAGTTATTTGGTTGTGAAAATTCATGGTGATCCACAGGTGACAATTCACAAAATTGAGGGAGATGCAGATCAGAGGTGATACAAACATTAACAATCTATCTCGAGTCATTTACTTTAACGCTCTTTTCCTCCCTCGTCTTCTTGCTCTTTTTCTTGTTCTATTTACATATATAAAATTCAATTTTAAGTATCAGATATCTTGGAGAAACTGAAGGTTTTGCCATTTCCCGAGATGGAAGCCTACAAAGCCAAGACAACAATTACAGTGTACATGAAAATGACCAAAATTTCACAGAAGTAAGTCCCCACTCATCTACTTTCAGCATGGTTTATTATGACAATAATTCGACTAAAGCATCCTGAAATTCCTACCAGCAATTGATGGCCTTTCAATGCAACTTTACGATTAAATTGTCCTTGATTCTCACAGGATGGGCACTTGAATATGATCACATATCAGAATGCTGAACAAAATGGCAGCATTAAAGCATCGAATGGCTCTACAGCTACAGTAGCATCATGTTGGGACATTTGTTCTGAACAACCAAGAAGGGCTAGTATTGGTCAGGACCCTGCCAGCTTCCTTTCACCGCTGCGGCTAAATTCTATTCCTCAAAGGGGAGCAGGTGCTGTCACGACTAAAAAGCAAATGCACCGGAGAACAAACACAGATTGGTCAGTCTGTTCAACTTCAGATGGAAGTTTAGTTGAGTCAGGTAATAGCCCAAAAGACATCCCAAGGGAATGGCAAGAGGGATCCGACAGTTCTGTAGAGAAACTCAGAAGTGAAAATGCTCTTCTACTGAGGCAGGTGGAAGTTTCTGAATTAGAATTGGAATCTCTCAGGAAACAGATTTTGAAAGAGACCAAACGGACACAGGATCTGGCAGGACAAATTATCAGCCTGAAAGAAGAGAGAGATGCAGTGAAGACAGAGTTTAAACAACTCAAGTCACACAAAAATACAGATGAGGCAGAAATTGAAAGCAGATTGCAAGCTGAAAATGAGGAGTCAAATGTTCTGCTAGAAGAAATCAGGCAGGAGCTGAATCATGAAAAGGACTTGAATACCAATCTCCGTTTGCAGCTGCAGAAGACTGAGGATTCAAATTCTAATCTGATTCTTGCAGTAAGAGACCTCAATGAAATGTTAGAGCAAAAGAACAGGGAAATATCGTGCCTCTCAAGTGAGATAGAAGCAAGTATGAATATGGAAGAGGTGCAGTCAAGTTCCAAATGCCATCTGAACGAGGCTGAGGATCAGAAAACAGTGGAAGAACTCAACAAGGAACAAAATGATGCTAATGAAGTACACATGATGAAGCAGACAGTCACAGACCTGAATGCAGAGTTAGAGTTTTACAGGAAACATAAAGAGGAGTTAGAGATGCATATAGAAGAACTAAGCCAGGAAAATGAGGTCCTAAAACGGGAAAATTACGATATCTCTTCCCAGTTAAAGCAAAATGAGCAACAAGAATCAATCAAGATGCAAAATGAGTACTTGGAATCTTTGGCTACCATAAATGAACTTGAATCTCAAGTGCAAAGACTGGAGGATAAAATCAAGCAGCAGTCAGAAGAATACTCAGAATCTTTAGTTGCCATTAATGAACTTGAAAGTCAAGTCAAAGAATTAAAGAAAGTACTGGAGAATCGGACACAAAGGTTTGAAGATGATCTCAATACCATGATGCATGCCAAAACAGAGCAGGAAGAAAGGGCTATCCGAGCAGAGGAGGCCTTAAGAAAGACAAGGTGGAAAAATGCAGTTACGGCAGAGCGGCTTCAGGAAGAGTTTAAAAGGCTATCTATTGAAATGGCCACTAAGTTTGATGAGAATGAAAAGATGACCACGAAAGCAGTTGCAGAAGCAAATGAACTGCACATACAAAAAAGAAATCTGGAAGAAATGCTCCAGAAAGCTAATGAAGAGCTTGAACTACTTAAGGATCGGACTGGAATTGAACGACAAGAGCTTTCACATCAACTAGACATCAAAGCAAAACAAATAGAGCAAATGTCAATGGAACTTAATGATAAGACCATGCGACTTGAACACACACAAAAGCAAGAGAAGGAAAAGCAAGAGGCTTTCTCAAAAGAAATCCAGATGCTCAGAACTGAGATCGAGAAGCTCACAGAGCAGAGAAGCCAATTTTCTGATGAGGCAAAAGAAAATGGAAAGCAAAGTGATGAAACCATAAAAGTGAAGACATCAAGTGACAAAACTGAGGTGCTGATACAAAGATGGAATAAAGAAAGAGAGGAATTGGAGAAAAAAATCGCTTCAGCAAAGAAGGAAGCAGAGAAGGCACAGAAACAATTAATTAGTACAAGGTCTTTGAAGGATAAAAAAGAGATGATGATCACAAATTTGAAGTCAGAAATGGAAAACATTCAAGTGGAGTATAATGACTTAAAACATAAATTGATCCGAGAAGAAATGGAGAAAGAAAAACTGAGAAAACAGGTATCTCAATTAAAGAATGACCTGCAGAAGAAAGAAGAAGAAACCATCTCTCTAGAAAAACAACCAAAAAATAATGGTGGTCAAGCTGCTGTCACTCCAAGAAGCAGCAACTCTACCTCAGCTCCTCAGGGCTCCAAGTCTATCACCATGTTGCAGAAGAAATTGAGGTTGCTTAAGGTAGTTGTTCTAACATGGCTTAGAAATTAACATAGTATCTGTTATGTGTATGGAAAGATTACATATGGAATGCAAGATATGTCCATTTTAACAAAACATCAATGGTGGAAGTAAACCACATATAATCTGCTTTTTTCAGTCATAAGATGTTTACATTTTATGTTCTTACGAAATCCAAACAACCAAGCTGATATAACAATTTCTTGTTCTCATTCATCAAATAACAGAGATTAATATTTAACAATTTTTTGCAGGATCAGATAAATCTCAAGGAAGCTGCATCGAAAACATCAGCTAATTCAGCTCCGGAGAAGGAAAGAAATCTCAGCAACATGATTGAACAGCTAGAGAGCAGCATGGAACAACTCAAAATTTGTCATTGTATCTCTGCAGATCATTGTCAAGAGGTTTGTGAATTACAACAATAAATTGCATTGACTAATATCATTTTGTGATTTCTTATGCAACTGGGCAGAAATATTTTAGTCTAGACATAGTTCATGAGGCAACGCTTAGCTAACTCCAAATGATCATAGAAACAATATTTCAGAGATTAGTAATACATCTCTACAGAAACTGAATTACCTTTTTATTAGAGAGTAATGATGTATGAGAAAAAATTCATTAAAAATGTTGTTCAAAACAATATCAATGAGTTAATGCTGCAGAAGTAAATTTAATTCTAGACCCCCGAAACTCAAAAATTAAAGGCAGGTCACTTATATCTCAGTTTTTTCATTATTTTTAGATATGCTTCCAGTTCCACCCATTTAGTTTCGAGACTGTTACTTCAGAAGAACTGGATTACTGATGTTGAAAATACAGGAAACTATATCTGCTGGAATCTTTGCTGCAAATGTCACCAAATCTGAAGAAAGAGGAAAGTCACCAGACAACATGCTACATTCCAAGATGAACACTGCAGAAGGCATGTCTTTCTCAACCAGAGCAGTACCAGTTGAAAGGTATGAGCATAAAATAAGGTGAACATTGATGTTTTATCTTTTTGTCTCAAGAATTACAGCTTATTATTAAGCACTATCTTTATTATATATGGAGCTCATCGACTTATCATTTCTGTTTCCTACTTCTCCAAACAGAAGGAAAGAAACTAACGCAGAGAGAGAGCATAAATGCTCCACTTCTGATACCAACACTGGTGCTAATCTTGCCGAGTTGCTATGTGAAGTGGAATGTCTTAAGGAAAGGAATAAATCTATGGAGCGTGAGCTTAAAGACATGGAAGAAAGATATTCAGAAATAAGCCTCAAATTTGCAGAAGTGGAAGGTGAAAGACAGCAACTTGTAATGACAGTACGAAACCTTAAGAACAGCAAGAAGAGCTAGCATGTTCAAAAATGCAGTATGTTTGGCAAAGAATTCTAGGCAGAGTGAAGCAGCTGATCTTCTTCATAGAAGATACAAGTGTGATACTTACATCAAAGTTCAATCAAGATATCCTTACCATTTGACCTTGTGAAACGGCATTTTCCTTTATTTGTTGCTCATCTCCTGATAGGAACACTGAGGAATTGGATTCAACCAACTACGTTGAAAGTTCAAAAAAGTAAATCTTGATTTTGAGGTTTTATATGTTTAGATACAGAGACCCAATAGCTATATAGGAACCCATCCAATACCTTTTTCATTTTGCTTAATAAATTAAAACCTTGAATTAATTCTGTAGAAACAGAACTAACAAATCAAGCCAGTCTTTGTCCTCAGCCCTGGCACTTCTCTTCAAGCTAAGAACTGATTTCACCAAGATGGGCATTTTTGTTTCTTAGAGTAAATAGTAATATTATTATCACAAAAATATAATTAGAACAAAGAATAAATACACCAACTACACAGCCCAAACACATCACACTTGCCATCAATTAAAGTATTAACATCAATAGATACTTACGCACCACATTTGCAGGCAGGCAGGGATATATACACGCACAACTACAGGGCTACTAGCAGTGCATGCCCACCAATAAAAAGTTTCAGTTCAAAGATCAAATCATTTTAGTTTTAAGCATGGAGCTGCCTGATAAGCTTTCTTATAAATGCCTAACTGCCTATGTACTAGTCAGTTCAATATTTCTCGCCAACTGAAATATTTGTAGTATGAGGACTCTGGTGTTGTGTTAGAGCTTACTGATTGAGCCCATCTGGACTCATTCTTGAAAAAACAAGGCAACCGCACCAAGTTGATGGCATGTTTAAAGAATGATCTGCATAAAACATATAAATGTAAACAAGACTTAGTATATCTCTATATTATTGCTATTTTCTGACCAGAAAAGAAACAGCTTCTGCACACAATATTTAAGAACCAACCTGCTATTCCCCAAATGGTTCTACACCCGTATATGTTGCACCCCCCTCGTTCCCATCCCAATTATTGATTGCGGAGCTTTTTGCTCAAACCATGAGCACCTCCATCGCTCCAAACCAGCTTAGTTTGACTTTCACTTTCATTCATTGCAAAAGATAGAGTCTACACAGGAAAAGTGCAATATTTCAATTGCAGACATATGCAATCTATGTGTTGCACATCAATATGATACCAAAGGTAATTTATTCAAACCTGTCTTGCTCTCTTATCAATGGGTGTCCGCATTTGCAAAAGGGAGGATGAAGCTTTTTCATTCTTTGATGAGTTGGATGATTGTAGGTATCTTTTCTGCTTCCTTTTTTCTAGTATTTTCCGAGGACTGCTACGTCCTTGGTATTTGAAAAATTCAAGCATTGACGGACTTCTTCTCTTAGGAACTTTTGCTATGTTTCTTGATATCTCAAAAGGTGAAGCAGATGTATCAGAAGGAAGATTCTGGTGATGTAATCTGCTCTTCTCCCTGATTCTGTTAAGAAATTCTATTGTCCAAGGTGAACCTGGCGGTGGATGGGCTGAAAGAATGGCCTTTGAGAGTGGTGTTGCTCTATGATTTGATACATCATTTTTGAGTAGTGAATGTTTGCAAGCTGCAGATCCCTGAGCTAAAACATCCTGTATGAGGTTTTCTTGGTTCCTGGAAGGCACCTTATCATTATAACCTGTACCTGGATTATCATTAGTTCCTTGGAAACTATCTCTAGGATATTTTACAGAACTGAATATATCTGATTCAGTGCTGATCTCAGAAACATATGGGAAAGCAGTGCCACTGCCTTTACTGAAAGACAATTTTCTAGCGATTTTAGACTTTCTTGTAGAGTCATTTTCAATCTCCCTCACCATAGAGAAGGGAATAGAATTATCAAAGGAAGAGAAATCCTCACCTGACATTGGACTGTCAATGAGGTCAATAACTTCATCTAGAGAATCCTCATGCCGATTTTCAAACTTATTGATGTTCTGCCTGTCCAAACTGTTCAGCATAGCCATATTTTCTGCCTGATTGTGACCCCAAATATTATCTTTCAAAGGTACACTCAGTTTGGGCTTTTTTGCTTCATTTAATATCTGAGGACTTTCAAAGATTCGAGAATCATATTGCTTAGGAACTTGATGGCTCAAATATGCAGGTAAAACAAATTGCTGCTTTTGATCAAATATATAGTTCGAAGATGAACTGTGTTTTTTGTAATCCTGAAAATCCTTGGAACCTTTAGACATCCGAGAATTATATGGCTTTGACAGCCCAGAAGGATTCAAGAAGTCATCTGTGCATTGGTTCAAAGGCTCAACATGCAGGAACTCATCCATACTGATGCTGGTTTTATGAGGGCTATTCATGTGTTTTCCTTGTTTTCCCTCAGAACCAACATTAAGATGACACTTGTCAGAATCAGGACCAGAAGATACCGAAGAAGAGCAGTCTGTCATTATAGATTTTGAGTCCTCACGCTCACCATACTTGCACAAAGCACTGAACAGAGCAACACTTTCATCTGGTACACAGTAGTTTTGGACTGCATGGATCCTGCGTTCATGTGACCACTCAAGGAACTCAATGAGCACTCCTCCTGAAGAGAGTATTGCATGAGCTGTCAAAGGATTAATTGAAGGAAATTTTGTGAGGAATGATTCTGCAAGAGTTTCTGAATCAGGCATCTTAGGATATAAGCCCCTGGTCATCTTAGCAGCGTAGTCAATGCAGTTTAATATAATTTCATCAGTTAACTCAGATGAATAAGAACAAAAGAGCTGGAAGTCAATTCCCAAACTTGCTGCTGCTGCATAGAGTCCAGCTGAGGATTCCATTACAGTAGAAAGGAAGCCAACTTCTCCCTCAAAAACCTAGAAGAAAAAGTACATACAATATAAGGTAATTCAAATTGCAACAACAATAATTTTAATATTTTAATAAAAAGAGTTCAAGAATTTTCATCTTTTCAAGAGTACCATGTCTCATCTTGCACAATAAAATGAACAAAGCTGTCTGGCCTAAGATTTATTGCCATTTTCAACCTAGGCTATAAGAAAGTCCATACTTCTAGTGAACAAGCAACAACATCACCTATAACTACTTGTAGCCAGCTGACTCTGACCAAGCCAGCAAAAGATGGCCACGAATGAAAATAAGAAGCATTTAAATCTATTTGGAAATTGTTACTCGTAAAATCATTTTTATAGGCTATCATTACTTTTAAGGTCTCTGATATACAGGCAAGACAAGTAGTGAACAGAAGCATATAAAAATATTTCACCAGAGATAAAATAGCCTACTCCAACCATAGTGATGAAATTAACAGAAAGGTACTTGAAGCATAAACCTAGAGTTTTCTGGTTCTAAGCATCCCAAAGAACTCAGAAACAATACCTGACATCTGTTTTCTTGAAACTTAATTACTCTGTTGGTCTAATGAGTTAAGATGTGAAAGTCAAAGTGTAAAGCTGATGTAAGGTATGGAAATTACCAGGAAACAGCCACTGAAAGTAAAACTCAGCAATGTCAAAATATTAGTTGCAATATTCTCAATCCACGATGGTAAGCATGAAGATGCTGCATCTAAAGTGGCAGCTTTTCCTCCGATGTTTCTGCAATCGTACCACACTAAGCAAATTGCAGAACTAATTATGACATCCACAGGCAGATTTAAATCACGTTCCACCACTTGAGCTCCTTCTTTCTCCATTGCAAGAATTTTTTGATATGTACTTCTTCTGGATACAATCATTTCCTTGTCAAAATTTTGCGTGTTCACAATAATTACTATGTCCATTTTTCTCTGCTGAGTTTGCTTGGTTTCCACAGCAACTGGCAGAGGCATAAAGTGAGCTTCTACTTTATCCACACCCTCGACAGATTTCTTATTACACTTGTCTTCAATTGGTACAAAGTTCAGTAGGTCCTCCAACTTCTGGTAATTCACATTGTCATCTAGGGCCAGGATTGAATGAAACTCTCCTTCCTAAAACATGGGTACAGTCAGCAGTATGTCTGTGATCACCAATATGATTACTGACAGATGAAGAGTTATTTGAGGAAAGAATTCACAACATAAGACAGGCAGCTCATGCCAGTCAGAAAATATTTTTGCTAGAAAGTTTGGAACCTATCTCTTATGAAGAAGTCAAAGTTTGGAGGTTGTTTGATGTGTATAAAGAATTTGTAATTGTTCTCATTCTTAACGATAGAAAAGGATATTCACTGCAATGGTTAAACACCAATTTGTAGCAATTCAAGCACCTATACTGTAGCAACTAACTAGAAAATCACAAAACCAAATTAGCCATACACTCCCAATTCATCCTAAAAAAATTTTCTCAACTTCACTTGCACAAGGCAACATGCCTTAATTCACACTGAATATTTCAAGGGGCAATCTATATCTGTCACATGCAGTATATTTTTCCACCCGTTCACCCCAGTCACATATTTTAATTAGACACTAAATTGATTTTTCATTGGTTGATATGAATTTAGGATATATTTTGAACTCATCATACCCTCCATTCCTTGAGCTAAAGCCTCAAAAAAACCTCTTAACAATATCATTAAAATCAAATGTTTGTCTTCTGTTCTATAATTTATATTCGAATTTTATTCTACATGACAATAATATGCGAGTCTGTGAATGAAACTAGAATTACAGGAAAAGTGGCAATGGAAGTTAATTTCCCAAATTAGAAAAAAAAGTTAATTACCTAAAAGTGCATAAAGTAAAGATACCATCAATGAATGAATATGTGAACTCGGTAAGAAAGGCGAGACGTACCATCAACTTTTTTGTAGTCTGGGGCACATTAACACCTTGACAGAGTGCTTTAGATGCACTAGAGCCATCCAGTTCAATCTTCACAAAGTGAAGATGATTCAAGCCAACCAACTCAGTGGAAAAGGAAGATACTCTAGATGAACCACACGAGCCTCCATATTCCACAATAAGGTTGAACTTGTTGAATGGAAAAGATGCAGAAACATGCCTTGAGGAGAAAGGGAGAGAATATCACATAAAACTTCATAACACCACACAAAGTTTGAGCAGATGGGCCCACCCACTTCAGATTTTCAACTTTAGGTTTTCATAATGTGCAATGTGCTGCGTTCTTAATCTCTTGGTTAGAAATTCTAAAATGTAAGAACACTCAAAGACTAACAAGTAATTGTGCTAGGGAGGCTAGAAGTTGGATAAATATTTAGACAAATATCCCACATGCCTTTGTTCCAGGAAATCATGCAATTAGTCTACATAATTTAATATCTATCCTAAAATTTGTTGAATTTTAACAATACCCCCCAATTTCACAAAAATGCAGTTAGCATCTTGTACTAGGAGGCCAACATTCTAGATGCGGCATAACCATCTTATCATGGAATATTTGTGCGTGCAGAACATATACAGTCATGTGGCCGGGTCAAGTCATCTATCCTTTAATAGTCATTAGCTTAGATATGTACCATATAAGAAGAGAACTAGTGATAGGTGATTTAATTCATGAGTACACAACCACATTGATGGAGAACTAATATGCCAATGAGGTTAGAAACATGTATAATATCTCTGGACTCAAGTTCCAAGAATTTCTTCAATAATAGTGTAAAGAACACCTTGCTACCTCAAGCCAACCCATGATTACATATTGAAATTGAAACATTTGTTGTCTTTCATATACCCTGTAGTAATTAGGTTGGAAATTTGAGTTTGATCTCTCTAATATTTCAATTCAGTAGTTTTAGTACCTCTACCTCAATTTTAATGAATTTAATCCTTACACTTATATTAAAAATTGATTTCAAGATGTAACAGTGTTAAAATTTTACCATCAACTTGGATGACGTGGCATTTTGGTGATGAGATAGCATGACAAGGTGGATTAATTTTTTGACCACATAGCACATATCAGTCCAAAAAATCATATTTTACTTCAATTAAATAATAATTAACTAAAAACAAGTTTTTAGCAGTTTCTTATTAACAATAAATGTTATTTTATGCTAATCTTTCCCACATTTGATAAAAAATTTGGGTTGACATGACACATCATCAACAAAAACATCACATGACCAAAATCAACGGTACAATTTTAATATTTGTTATCAATTGTCCTTAAATTGACTTTTAATAAAAGTGTATATTAAAAGTGTAGGGATTAAATTCAGACTTTGACCCTAAAATTTAATTCAGTCAACACCATAAAGCAAAAAAATAAGATACTATATAGCATCAAACAAACAAACTGAATTATTGAGAAGCACTTATCAGATAATATACTGCAATGTATTAGATATTGTACTTTTGGAACTTACTCCTGAGACACCAACCAACAATCTGAAATCAGCTGAGAATCCATCTTACAGACATCTAATGCATTTGCACTTGTGCAGAAACTTGATAACTCATTCCATGATAGCCCAATTGACATCAACAAACTCTTCAAGGACCACCAGAAGACTTGCTCTGCCAAAATCAACACTTTGGAACTACTTGGACTGATGTTTGACTGTAAAATTCCTTGTATAACACATAGTGAGGGATGTGATCTCGTTATTTCCTTGTCAACCTTGCCGCACGCATCCTTAATCAAGGAATGGAGGAAACTTAGTCTTGACTTCAGGCAGCCAAGGCTTTGACATAGCTTGTCTACATATAAGCAAGCTGCATGGATGCCATAGAAACACATGTACCAAGCCATTTGCTTAATTGCACACAATGTCACAAATGCCATAACGTCTTCATCTTTATGAGAAGTCATTCTTCGTGCCATTTTTTTCTTAATACACTCCATTAACTTTTGCTTTGGAAGACTAAGCAATTCAAAATTATCTGCAGGTAAAAATGAGATTAACTCTGTCTCATTCTGCAGGATAGCCAGATAGCTGTTTTCAAACTTTTCAATTAGAGCCACGATATCATCTGACAATTTTATATTGTAAACCATGATATCCCACTGCTGCAATTTTACACCAGTGGATGCACATGCTTGAACTGAAGGACCAGATGAAACATGGGGTAACATAGCATTTGAATCGAATGCCACAGCTGTAGGTCCAGTACTTTCTCCGGCACTACCTTTTTGGGGATTCAAGAAAAAATCGAGATCATTGAATTGTGACATAGACTTAAATAGCAATGAAGCCCTCTTGGCATCTTTTTCTGCTAATTGTTCTGAGTTTCCTGGTTTTGGGCATCCATTGTCTTCTAAATTACCTGACGCAACTGCCATAAGATGACCATTAAGCATAGCAGTGCTATCAGAACTGACATTCAGTGCTTCCTCATATTGTTCAGTAGCCAATTCACTTAAAGCATCATCTGAGAAAATGAATTCAGATACTAACTTCCCATCCTCAAAACTTTCCTGATCAAAATCAATGTTGTATGAGTCTATCTTCTCTACCATATTCTGAAACAAAGAATAAACTTTACTGTTGCATTTATCTTCTTCCAAAATATACCAGTCCAAGTAGATCCCATCAGATGCAGATAGGGGCAGTAACTTCAACTCAGACAGTAATTCCTCAACCAACGTGCATATTGGCCTCATCCTTTTGTGATCAGAGAGAACAGGTATAGGCAAAGATTTGAATGTTTCATCTACCAGCACAAGTTCATGACTAACAACCAATTTGTTGAAACTCTTTAAATTCATGTCTTCCCTGAACATATAGTCACATGCTTCAGGTTCACAGGTCATTTGTCTGTTCAGAAACACCTCAAAGTTTTGAGATAAGTCCACATCAAAAATCTGAAATTCCTCAAAAACAACCAGGCTCATGGGCGAAAAGCAATCAGCACCATGTTTAGCCATATAAAATTCAAAATTCCCATCAACTTGAGGAGTTTCCACTACACTTATAAGGTTCATGTCCAGGAACATCTCTGGGAATGCCAGCTCTGGTTCAGGAAATTGTTTTAATAAACAGTGATCAGAAAAAAACTTGAAGATATCATACCCAATAGAGCCCAAGAGCTCCTTGCTATCAATGAGCACATTATCTTCTTGAGTCCAGAGCTGGGTATCAATAGATTCAAAAACGGAAGGAAGTACATCATCCAGAGAATGACTTATGATGCCCAGACTTATTTCATCCACCTCCAAGAAAGGAAAGGTGTAATGCTGTAAAGGCAACTGATCCTCAAAAGAACTATCCTCTTCAAGCATATAATTATTTTTCTCCATGTTGTACTTTGAAGTAACATAGTCAACCGAATAAACTGATTCTTGAATCTTGTTAGAATATTGCACTATAGGTTCTGTCTCATCCTGAAGAAAGATCCAATTCAAAAGAGACACCAAATTATTCTAAGAATTTTAAGGATCATTAAAACTCCATAAAACAGTGAGATTAATATTTCTCCTTTAAAACACTGCAGGTTTTTGCTATCATCAAGGCTTTTCTGTTTGAACAGAATCAACTGAATATGATGAAACATCTTTCTAGATACTTAAACAACATAGCTTCACTTTTCTTTCTTTGATCAACATTGATATCTCAGTTGCATCCAAGTTTCAAACAAGTAATACACAAGCCAGATATGACTAATGCTGCATGTAGGAAGCAAGTGAACAATTAAAAAGGTTAGAGGACATCTGGAGTAACTACAGATCCATCAGTATACTGAGCAAATTAAGACCAACCTGTCAGGACTTTTGCATGTTAAGGCAAATATATAAGCCTGTCTAAAACACTAAGGTAACCATTAAACTTTAGCACTATATCTGAAGAAAAGAAATTAACTTTAGGCAAATTAAAAAGAAATAAACTTTAATGTTCATTATAATATTATAATTCACCCAAAGATTAGGAAATCTATTATTCTGAATCCACTAGGAAAGAAGGCTAAGGAATTTGGAGGAAGACTGGAGAGTCCAATTCTAACATATCATATGGAGACTTTAAAAAATTATAAAAATAAATTAGATATTTACCTGATTGTTATCAATCTCCGGAATTCCAGAGAATGTCTCGATCTCTTTCTCAGAAAAGCGAGCATTATCCTGCAAATAAATATATACATATATATATATATATGCATGTAAGTACAAAATTTTCAAATGGTTGCTCTACTGAATCAACTTTCATACATGCAATAGACATTTCATTATACCAAGTAAGTATCCAGCTCTGGTGTTTCAAAGAGGATCACATCAAACCTCTGCACATCCTTATCATCAGCACTGGTTACATTATCCTTCTGCAGTGGCACGAATTAAGCTTTATGCAAGATCCTAAAGAGAACGAAGTAAAAGTGAAAGGTTAGCATCATTTGAGAAAGTTACTTTAATGTTTTTGGACATCTAACCTCCACAATTTCAGATCCAAAAGTTGTCTGACTCTGCGCTTCATTTCTCTCATTACAAACGATAGCTTCTTTCTGCAAGCCAAAAAACCATCTAAAGGTAACAGGACCATAGTAGGGAAACACCTGCCGGATTATAAGGATATTTCCTAAAGACAAGTTTCACCAGAAAAAGGAGGCCAAAAAAGAAAAGGCATCCGGTTGCGAGGAATCTCAAATATCTTAATTTTTTTCATCAACAAAATATGTAAAATAAGGTTTCTCATTTCTAATTTTCCGAGAGAATCTCAACTATCTAATATCCATATTAGTTTTAGTTATTGATTAAAATATCTACGAAGAAATTTCCTATAATTGCACTTTCACAGTTTCCTTTTTAAAAATCAAAGAGTGCAAAATCAGGCATTAAAAAGGTCAATCAAATTCAAAAGTACAGATAAAGAAAAACACTATACATGATTGAAACTATTTTGTTTCTATTAAGAAAATAGATCTCAGAAATTCTATTATTGAAGAGTTTTTAAGCATCAACAAGTTATCGATCAATAAAGAGAGCGCTCTCTATAAATAAATAACGTAAAACCGGAGTCTCATCATTTGAAAATCCAAAATCGAATAAATGCTCAAGAATAATTCATCGCGATTTTCATACTTTACATCAACATCAGAAAATTTTCATTTGAAATCAAATAAAAATTCAAAACACATGCAAAACTAAAGTGAATCGAACTCATCATTTTACCTCAGAGAACCTGGCGCCGACATTTCCAATTAGAGACCGAGTATCCCGGAAATCTCCGAAATCGACGTCGATGAATTGAGGAATTGCGTCGGACAAAAACTTTGAGAGAGCGGCATCGATCGGCAATCTGTCGGTCTCGAGAGGTACGTTGAGAAACGAATCAAAGCGGAGAAGCTCGTCTTTGAAGGTAGAAAGATGCCAAGGAGGCAACTGAGGGAGCGGTAGATTAAGGAAGCTTAGGGTTTCGGTTGGAGATAGAGATGAAGTGAAGTAGTCGGTATTGAGAAATCGAGTTCGCATCGCCGGTGGTTTCTGAGATTTGTTGCAGGTGAAGAGAGAGCGGTTTTGGGAAATAGAATTTAAATTCGCGCCCAATATTTGATTTTATTCTAACGGGAGGCTTCCCCACTTGCGTGGATAGCGCGCGCACTTGCTTCAGTCCTTTCCTTTGTTCCCTCTAGTCTCTAGCTTTTTCCCCAAACACAACATCTGGAACGGATTCACAAACTGGATCAAGGTGTCTTAACCCTAGGCAGCTAGGCCTATGAGCTCTGATTGGGCCTAAACTTGGGTCCAGGTTTTCAATATTATGTCCGTCCATCTGTTGTAATGCATGCAACAGATTTTTAATTATTAGAATAACAAAGTTATTTTATAATATATTTATATTTTTTAAAATTTATTAAGTATTAAATTATAATATTTAAAATTAATTTATATTATTGTAATCTTTTATGTATGAACCATTCTTTATGGTACATTTTTTTTTTCAATTTTACTATAATTTGGACCATATCTTAAATTTGTTTTAGATATTGATGATTATTTGATGCACAATGTTAATTAACAATGCCACTAAATAAGAAATTTATTGAATTAGCGTTTTTCTTTTTTTAGTTAAAAGGAAGGTCAAATAACTCATCAAACTAGAACAAGCATAGAGCATCATAATATGCATATGTATATAGTTGTCACTCACTAATTGTTAAAATGTTAATTTGAAATTGATGTCAAAGATTGGATATTCAAATTAATATCTTTAAAAAATATTAAATATCATCGAAAAGCAAATATATTTACACCGTGATAGCAATTAAATTATGCTTCTCACTTGATTTTAAGTTTTAATTACTATTAACATGAAATCTAATACACTACAAAAATGTGTCAAGCACATTTAATATATTAAAATCATCATAATCTCATTATGATAAATTTGATAATTACAACAAAAATTTTATATAATACTGCAAAATGTTGCAAAAGTATTTGCAATAATATTAACGTATACTCCTGTAGTGAAAAGTAATATATATGCAATAAAAGGTTTTATTTGGTAATCTGTTGTCAGGTGTGCAAATGATAATATTGCGAAAGTATATACAACAATCGTTGAGTATGTACTTGTTGCAAAATACGTTTTATAATAACATATATCGATAATAAATGATAAATTCTTTTTTATAAATAATTATAACGAGTGCGAGGGGTATAGTTTAACATTTTTGCATGGAGTGTAATAGATGAGAAAGCACTACCAGCCCCAGGTTCCAGAAACATATAAAGAGGCCAGAGGTCGGGAGACAGGAGTCCATATCCAAGGCTAAAAATTTAGGTGCTTTTATAAACAGGAGGTGTCGTGGTCGTAAAAGTATCTCCGGTAATTGGAGAGTAGGGATATGTATTTCCGTATCCAGCAGCAAGACGCACCCATTAGATCAGCGATACAGATTGCTGCTATAGGAATATATGTCTCCGATACGCGTGTTTTTTTCCATACCAGACACCTACTCCTGATTGGACCCATCTGCCTCGAAAGCAGTCAGGCAGTCACCATACTTATGCAAGCCCAAGCAGTCCGTCGTTTTAACGCTCATACTAATGTTAAGATGATTATTTCCTAGCATGAAACGAAATTAATGCCACGCGTACATTCGAACCGGAGTTAAGTGGCAGGAAATAGAGGCCTGTCGGTGGTATTACGTGTGCTAATCTTATAGCGCCACCGCCATGCATAGGTGGCAAAACCATGCGTTCTGGCGCCTTCTATAAAAATTCGAGATCTGTGCTCTGTTTTCTGTAATTTGCTCGCTTGAAGGTGACGGTCGAGCAGTTTCTTTTCTCTGTAAATCACTGTTAATTCTGATAATGGATACTCAAACAGCCTATCCCCGTGGCTACAATCAGGAGAATGACCCCAACATTATTGGGCACCACCACGGTGAGAGAAAACTTCAAGTCCTTCAAGTCTTGTAACTTCACCTTGACAGGCAAAGGATACTTGTGTTTCTCTGTTTTTATCTAAATGCAAATGCATTTTAACCTTTTTGACCTTTTTCAGGAGAAAGGGAAGTCGAGCATCACCATCAGAAGAAATCAGTTTTGAAGAAGGTTAAGGCAAAGGCAAAGAAGATAAAGGACACGATCACGAAACATGGGCATGGTCACAACCATGACCATGATGATCATGATCATCACTGCCATGAGGGTCATATCCCTGATGACCATGACCTGGATGGGGAAGACGACGATGAAGAAGAAATTGTTTATGATCCAGAAGTTCATGGGGCAACAAGTATGTTGCCTACTGCTTTAATGCATCACCCTTCCCATGTTTCTTTATATTTTGTCCATGTAGGACAAATTGGCAATCAAATATGATGGCTAATTTTATTTCAAGAAATTTTAATCAAATGTTCTTAAATCCGTAATCTTTAATTATTGCTCCACAAGCATTCATTCCAGTCAAAATGAGAATAACGGAAAGATACTATATACAAATATTGCAATTTATATCAGGGAAAGTGCCTCAAACATTTCTGTTTTGTCATTCTTGAAGCGTATGAGTCTGCCGCTGCCAGAGTAATTGTCTCTAGACAACCAGAAGACTTGAGCCATGCTGGAATTACATACGAGAGGTCTAAAGCCTTGCGCCCCGATCCTCTAGCACCAAGAGACAGCTCTGAAACGTTTTATTCGGGAAACGACAAGACCAAATACAACAATGATCCAGCGATGAGTTCCGTTCCTGGCCTGAAGGCGCTGGCGATAGAACAACCAAGGGTTAACTCTGGGAAGACAACTCTTACGGTTGAAGAACCTCTAGGGCCACAAAACACACCTGTGTCTCGTACTTCTCATCAGAGCAAAGATGCTAATCCAACTAAAACATTTCTTTATGGGCAAGAGGAATATCCTGGGCAACCCAAAGTTAATTTGCAAAGACCAAAAGGGTTGGAGGATGACCCTGCTGCTCCGGAGGGCACTCCTGATGCTTATACTACTACAAATTATCAGACCAAAGTCACAGATCCAACTGGAAAAGGTTAAACCATTTTAGGCTAAAGACATCAGTTTATTACTTATGCATCAGCTTCCATCATTCTTCTTTTAGCAGTCAATTATAATTCAGAAAATACATCAAGAGATTGCCTTAATTAAAAGGGTTGTTATGTTAGAGATTTGTTATATTGTATTGAACTTGAACTGAACAAATTATTTGTTCTAACATACGCAACAGATGGAGAAGCAACAGGGATAACTCCAATTCTTCATTCCTTAGATAAAATGAAAATCTATGATGAGCAAAATACAGGAAGAGAGCAGAACTTACCACCTGGAACTCATCATAGGTCATCAGAACTAACCTTCCCTAAGGGAAGCCATGATCAATTCTCTCCTGAACCAACTCCTGCAATACCCATCAAAACCCCGGAAAAATCCCCACTATTCTCAGAGACCATGGAGACCCCAAAACCTGAAGAGCACGTAAATAACATCCCACCTGATAAACCGTCAAACCTGAGCAGTTACACTGAGAAAATATCATCTGCCACCTCTGCTATTGCAGACAAAGCAGAGTCGGCCAAAAACATTGTAGCTTCAAAGCTTGCATATGGTGAAAAAGATCAAACACTTGCAAATGAATCGCATGAAGGTCAAGGCGCAACCAAGCGAGCATCAGCAGTAGAT